CCTACAGGTCGGCACCGTGGCAGCTTCATTCTGTGATGTTGGGGTGTCTGTGAGCAGCCTCCTGGGTCTCTACCCAATAGTCTCCCACCAGCTGTGGTTAAAAAATATATTATCTTCAGACATTGTGCAGTGCCCCCCAGGGGACAAAATCATTCCAGAGCCCCAGCAAAGTGCAGGGCCCACAGCCGCCCCTTATACATTTAGGACTGGATATCTCCCGCTGGTATGAACTTGTGGTTAAAAGCATGGTAAGTGCCCAAAAAGGAAGAAAGTACCCACACCCCATGGTGTGGATAAGCCTCAAAAGCACGGCTGCAACGAGAAGCCAGATGTAAGGGGCCATGTACCTCTTGAAATGTACTGAGCAGAGCTGGCAGATGGCAGCGAGCTTACCCAGCACCCGCAAAGCCCTGAGTTCCATTCTTAGCACCACACAGTGCACACCTGAAACTTGGGCCCTCAGGAGATGGAGGAAGGAAGATCATAATTCAAGGCTCCCTTTGGATGTATAGAAAACATGAGGTCAGCCTGGGCTACATGGGACCCTGTCAAAAAGAAAAAAAGAAGGCACACACATAGGACAGGCAAACCAGAGGCCAGCACTGGGGAGGCAAGAGAGAGCAACACTCTCCTTGGATGTGGGTGTCCCTTGGCAGCGATAGGAATGTCTGGAGCTGGGTAAGAGGGGCAGACTGCCCTACTCTCTGAGAACTGTGCTAAATATGCCAAGTCCTATAATTTACTGTAACTGTTAACATAATGGAGTGGGGTGAAGTGAACGCAGGAGAAATGAAAACAGGTATTTAAGTGAAATGACAATCACTGACAAGTATAAAGAGACTTCAGCCATCACTTAAATAACATTTTCAAGGAGTCCATGGTGAGAGGCTCAGTCTGGATCCCAGCACCCATGTTTTCTAAATAAAACCATCCTGGTAGTGTGTGTTTATGACCCCAGGACTGAGGAGACAGAAGCAGGCAGATCCTGGGAATTGCTTGTCAGTCAGCCTAACCTACTTGTGGAATTTCAGGCTACTGAGAGACCCTGCCTCAAAAAAATTAGGTAGATAGTGCCTGGGGCACAACACTGAAGCTTATCCTCTGCCACCCTTCACACACACACACACACACACACACACACACACACACACAGAGAGAGAGAGAGAGAGAGAGAGAGAGAGAGAGAGAGAGAGAGAGAG